CCATGCAGGCAAAACAGCCATATACCTAAAATTAATAATATATTTTTCTACTTTCCTGTCTCGCCACATGACCCTTCCTCTCTATGTTCCTATCACTGTGCTGCCACGTGTCACGATGCCCTTGTCAAAGGATGAATCACAAGAGACGATATATTTCAGACTCTGAGGTTGTGAGCAACCTCTTTTCTTTATAATTTATCCTGCCCCGGCTATTTTGCTATTAACAACAGAAATCAGACTGATATACAGGTTAAGCTACTTTCTTAGGAAGCCAAGACAAGATTTCTTCCCAGGTTGTCTGAAGCTATACCATACTACTTCCTGACAAGCTGTGAGAGCTTTGAAAACTGTCTTGTTTGACAATTGATTGTCCAGGCAGCCTACAAGCACACTCTGCCCATCTTCTTGGATCCACAGAGGACGTCTGGCTAAAGGGAACACATCTTCCATGGTTCATTTTAGTCTGCTGTTTATAGGATAGTTGTTAGGATGGGTCAAAGCTGGTACCCAGGGAGGAAACTGTCCCAGAGGGATGGATATTTCTGAATCTACAGTGAAGAAAAATGGAGCTTGCGTTTCATCTTGGCTAAAGACATGGAGTTTACTGAGAATCTGACTCAGAACCTGAGTTTTCACCCCTGAGCCTTTTGTGTCATGAAATAAAATCAAATGGGAATGCCCTCATCTATCTAGTGGTAAAACACATAACCGAGATACAGCAACAGATGAAGGCTGTTGGGGTGGGTGGGAAGAGTTGCATGAAGCCAACACGGTGCATGAAAAATTCCATTCCCTGGCGCAGCCGTCCTCATGCATGGTTTACCAATGGCATGTGCACTTGTGCACACCCTGAAACAACACGCATCTGACAGCAAGAACCTGACTCCTTCCCCCACTTGCTATTGGGCTTGTGGCAGCTTAATCCTGCACCGTGCACTGAAAACCCCTCTAAGGATTTCTTTCCATTGCATTAGCTTATCCTGTGGGCTGTCGGCAGCCAAAGAAAGAAAAACCTGTTGTGTGTGAAAGAATTTACTTTGATTCATTCACTGCATGCTAGGGACAGACCCAGATTGGTAATAATAATATTTTTGTTATATTTGCTAGCAATAATAATAATAGTGACCCAATGCTAGAATGAAGGAAGGTGAGGGGAAGCCAGAGGAGGCAGGGTAGGGGCCCTTGATTAGGGAAGTCTGAGATGGAGTTCCTGTGGTGCTAACAGCTGCTGGCTTCTTACTGGCTTCTTACGACAGACCAGGCCCTCACTAGCTGGGCGGAGCGGCTAAGATGGGCCCTGGACCTCCCCTGGGCAGCTCCATCCTGACACAAAAGTGACAAGAGAAGCTCACAGAGAGCATAGCGTGGGTGGGTGCAGGAGCGCTTTTCAGAGGAAGAGCAGAGATTAAAGCAAACCAGAGTGATCGGCTGGGGACAACTGTAAAGTCAGCAGCTTCTCACTGAGCAGAACTCTGGCAAGTTCAGGGACTATGAGGCCTAAGAAAGACAAAGGAACAGAAACAGCAGCAGGGAAGGTCAGGTCCAGCTTGTACCAAGTTGTAGTGGAGGAAGCTAAACGGGAGGGGGAAGCGAGTCTTATGTCCTCTTAGGGTGAAACCATCAGAGGCCAGATGAAGGGGCAGACCAGGGTGAGAAATATTTTTAATTATGAAACACACAGACTCATGAAAGTAATTCAAGCCATGGTGACATTTAAATGAAATAAACTAAATTCTAAGTTTGCAATGGTTGGGGGTGGGGTGGAAAAAGAGAAATCCTTAAAAAGAATTTACTCCTTTTACTAAGAAAATAAGGCAGCACTTAAGGATTTTTTTTTTTTAATCCAAACACATACAGTCTGTAACACAGAAACTCGAAGATACAGGGTCTGTTGGAGACACCTGCCAGCTGGCCACTCCTGCAAGCCTCCGAATAAGACCCACTTGTGTTTAGATGTGCCCCAGGTCCCTTGTTAGACAACAGGCTTGTCCCCTTGTGAGGCTCTGCTTAGTTTCTATTGTACAAAAACTGAAGGGCTCTCCAGTCTGTTGAAACTGCTAGAACACTGAAATCGTTTCTCACAGCCTAAATGGCATTCAGAATAAACACTGTGAATTGATGAAATGACCAATTATGTGAAGTAGCCCTGCCTGGTGTAATCCAAACCAAATCTTCCCCCATTATCCTCAAACCAAGAGGTGGCGATTCAACAGCCCAGCCTGCCTGTGATTTTTGAACCAAAAGACAGTGCCACACTTGAGGTCCAAGGAAGACCTTGAGCACTTATAGCTAATTCTCCCTATTAGTTTTATGCTAGAAAATACCAATATACTGTTCAATGGCTCATAAGCCAAACTGTTAAACAACCAAAGGCAGTCCCCTGTTGTAACTTTATGTCACTTTGGTCTCAACATCATTTCGGGTTTTCACTTCCACGTACTTCCCCTTAGAACATCACATTACAGTGAGTTCCAACTTCTGGTTTTTCAACTTTATGATGGTGTAAAAACTGTATGCCAGGTGTGTGTGTGTGTGTGTGTGTGTGTGTGTGTGTGTGTGTGTGTAGGGGAGCTGTCCTAGAAGAGCAAGGCATGGTGGTGTACATGTGTAATTCCATAACCTGAGCTACATGAGACTACCTCCAAAAAGTAAGAAAAAAAAATAAGAAAAGAAAAAGAAAGAAACTGTCTTTTCAATACTGATCCTTCCTAGACAGGGGTGAGGGTGGGGTGGGCCTTGACTTCCTACAACACTGGGCAGTAATGACAGTGTGCAACTGCCATCAGCCGCATGTTCACAAGGACAAACCATTGACACTTCACGGTGTCATGTGTTGTTAAGCACACAGTGCAGTAGGCGAAGCCCTGTACTATTTCCTACTTAGTATGATTTATTTGGATGTGATCAAGGAGCACCTGCCATCAAGTGCCATATGTCCAGCAAGCACCATGTCCTCACTATGCTGTCCTTTGGGATGCCGTGTGCTCTTGTGGTTTCCCTCACTGGCGATGCCGTGGAATGAATCACACACACACATGCACACACACATACAAACACACTCCTCTTTCTGTTTTGAGGCCTTGCTGAGGGCAGAAGAGGGGACATACACAGCTGAGAAAGTGAGTACACAGGTCAGGCACGGGCCTAACTGCTACAGGTGTGGAGGGACCTCCTCCTTCTTTGCATCCCCATATTTTTATATGTAAAGCTGACTGTGGTGGGCATTAGCAACTTCTGGACAGCCCCATAAGCCCCCAAAAGAAAACAAAAGATAATTTGGGAAGATACCCTTAAAGTCTGAAAGAAATCTTTTAGGGTAGAGGGGTCTTAAGAACTCTAGATGAGTAGGGAAAAATGACAAAAATGTCACAGGAAAAAAAAAAAAAGCACATCCCTGCCTACACCCCCAAATTTACAAAGATTCATATGGTTTTCAAATACGCAATACAGAACACACACACACATTATACTCAACTGAATACAGGTCCTATGTATATCTGAAACCTGTACTAGTTTAATTCCCAGTATACAAAGGCATCGGGAAATTTTTAAATCATAAAGAGAAAAGGAAGACGCACCCACCCATGAAACAGAAGCCCCTGCCCTCCCCCAGCTTCAGGCATTACTGACTCTCCATGGTTTTGTGTCATAGATACAAAACAAAAAACCTCATCTCCACAGAGTAATCTTACCTAATGTGGAACGGAACAGACCAAATCCTGTAAGAAAAAGCTCTAAGCAAACAAAATCCCAACTGTAAAAGTAATCCAAAGGTGAACGATACCCACACCATTACGATAGCTCTACATGAAAAGTAGAGACGCAGGGGATGCTGTGCTTCACTGAAGAAAAACCCAAAGGGTGACCCAAACTCTATTCCCAAACTTAGCAACCATGTGCCAATTCCTTCTCTTTTCTTAGACATTTAGGGTACCTATGAGGACTATGAAAGTAGGATTTACCCAACTTTATCTGTACCAAGGGAAAAAAAAAAAAAAAGAACCCAAAACTCGCTGGATCCTAATTTCACTTGCTATTAAAAAGCATGAAACCATGAAAAAGAGAACCATATCTCTCACCATTGTTAGAACTACTCCAGAAATTGGATGGGAAATGCCTCTTCTTAACCACAGGAATATCTGACCCCTTCATTTTTATGGCTCGCTTCAGTGTACCCTTTCACAAGACAGGCTCAACAGCCGGCTAAAGGACATCAAATCCTTATCCCACAACACAGTTCTGAAGCTCTTGGTACACTCCTGTCCACTTGCTTTCAGTGTCTGCGCTCCCCCTCACGTCCCCAACTCCTGGATATTCAACAAGGATTGGGGGCAGGGGATGAAATCCCAGGGACAGTTTACCCATAGAGCAGACATCCACAACAGCCATAATCCAAAAGTAACGTCTAAAAGAATCGGGCATATATCATCGGTTTTCAGTCATCCATTCTCTAGCAGCAAAACCGGAGGTGAAATGCAGTTTGAATTCTTTGACAGGAACTAGCACCATATTTGATGATGGACTGGAACACAGTCCCCCAGCAGATGACCCTAGATGGCCAACTGTCCCCAGAGCATCAGAACAAACCACAACCAACCTTCCAGGTACACAGGAACTGTTAGGAGACAGCAGGGAACAAATGCATCTCCACGATGACAAAAGTGTCAAAACACCCAAACCAGCCTTGATCATCCCAGGTATCAGAAACACTCGAAGGAGTTTGCGCTTTATCAGCCCAGTGTGTACTACTGTCACTATTCCAACTCCATCAAAGAAACAGTCCTGGGACAGAGGCCTGGTTCCAAACGCACAATTCACAGAAGCCAAGACACTTGAGTGGGAAGAAGTTAAGAGGACATTCAGACCCAGGACATAGCAGTCACACACCTCTCCAGAGAGCCACCACTGCTAACCAGAAGGGAGCAGCCCTGGCTTGCACCACGCACAAAGGAGGAGAGAAGGAGATGAGGGAACAGGAGGCGGAGCTCCTGGACACCTACCTTGCAGAAGGGCTCCGTTTCTCTTGAAGAAGGTACTGCCTGGCCAGATGGGTGGACCTGATGTGCTGGAAGAGAACACAGATGTGAGTGAGGTTTGAGAGTGGGGATCCACCCCACTCCCCAGCAACCCTTTCCCTGACAGCCCCTTCTCCAAACTTCACACATGGTGGCCTTGAAACACTTCCCCGGGCATGCTTGAAAGATAATTAGGTTAAAAACAGGCTTTCTTTCCCCACAGTAAAACCATCTGTGTGAGTATTCTGGTTATCATCTTGGCCAAGGTCACACTTGGCCACTGAGATCACCTGCAGGCCACCGGCAAATGCAAGTGGTTGGTGATTTGATTTGGTGATATCAGTAAGCTCTGAATGCTTGCTAACCTCTTCATGAACTCATGGACGCATATGGCAAACAAGTCTTCTGGGTTATACATCAGAACCTGTTGGCAATGTACCCATGCTGGCCTTTCTTGCCTTCTCTCCTACCAAATCCTCTCCACACAGCTGAGACCTTGATCCCTTCCTTCCCTCGCTTCTGTGATTTTTTTTTTTTTTTTTTTGCATCTTGTTTTCAATTTCTTGGCTTAAGATGTTGCACTCCATGCCCCATAAAACACTCTGCAGACATGTTGCCACCCACATTCTAGTAAGAGCAGAGGCAAGAACAGGAGCAAGATCAATATATCACTACGGCACTCGCTGCCTTTCTAGATGAGTGTTTTCACTGTCTTAAGACAGTCAGTGAAAAACTTTATAGCCACCCAATCTTAGTAAAAAAACCCTTCGAGTGGAAAGGGGGTTATCCTCAATCAAGGACTAGCTTGAGATTAATGTTAGAAAGGAGAATGTTAGCACAGCCAGCCCAAGAGGCAATTTAAATTACTCTCTCTGAAAGAGTATAAGGCAGATGATGTTGGTTAATACAGCATCAATCATATCCAACATTTAACAAATTAAAATTGGCAAAAGGAATTACTATTACCTATTGCCAGGAAGTCTTCATCTTCTCAGGCTAGCGCTAACTCCTTGCCCCCCCCCCCCCCACACAACACATACCCCCCCCCCCCCAACCCCACACCCCCACACCCACACACACACACACAACACATACCACACCACACACAACACCACACACACACACCCACCCACACACACACACACACACAACACATACCACACCACACACAACACCACACACCCACACCCACACCCACACCCACACCCACACCCACACACACATCCCCCCCCACCCGCCCC